GAAAGCTCAATGTGACTTTTTTCAGCCAGTACATTAAACGTGGCGTATTGTCCCACAATTAACAGGATGTGTGTACCCTAATGAGAAAACAATGGGCGAAACATAAATTTGGTGTTCTATAACAAATGTTTTGGTCTTATTTCGGCTTTCGATCCACATATAACCGGATTTCCTTGATAATTAAGTAGCACATTTTTTAGCAAGTGACCCCTGTTTACCTCACATGATATTTGAATAAGCCATGAGAGATCTTTTATCAAGCAAGTGACTCCTTGATTACTTATCTAATGCTCTCTCATTGAGCTAGGCAGGCATACTACAGATGGACAAAACGATTTACTTAATTATATGGCATTTATTAACCTTCTTGTGTTGTTGTTATCATGCCCTAAATCTATCTATGAAAACTGTACTTGCATATTTTCTTCATAGTAAGTAACCTAAGCTCTCAGATTATATTGTATACATTTGGAAACATTGTCATAATTATAGTAAAGTTTACATCTTGAGGTCGTACAATATGAAATGGAGTGGTTGAAAGGAAATCAAATATTACCTGACATGATGATTTATAAATGATGAAGATGATATTGGAGATCTGGAAGATAATGATGATCATCCATTTAATTTACTTTAATTTTATTTACGCATAATATTTCCAAAATCTATCAAAGATTTACAAATTTATGTACAAATTATGACAATTGACAATTATGACCTTAACCTTTGAGTCCGAGACTTGATTATTTCTTGTTCGACCTTAAAATGCAACACATCTGTGCAAATCAGAATTGTTGACCAGACAAGAGTATCAATACATGTAAATGAAAAATTAGGGGTGACTTAGCAACACATCTTGTTTTAGCGTGATACACATCAGATCAATGTAAAACAAGTTATGCATAATTGTAAAAAAATCATCCATGAATGACAAAGTCGTCGGAATGACAATTCCATCTATTAATCATATTATGAATATGGAAGTACAAGTGTGACTTGATTTTTGAATGTGTCACATCGATATAATGTCAAAAAAACATTTTTGTTAAGTTATTTCAAAAATCCATCTAGGAATGACATAATTATTGACTTGACATTACCATCAGTGCACAATTTATGCAAAATATGCAAGGTATGGACCGCACTGTACAAATAATAATTCCTCTCAAATTTTTGTAGGGAAGGGGCATAAAATGCTGCTTTTATTTTAAGTATTGAAATTGACTGCAGAATGTATTAATGCATCTATACTTATATTAATATATGTATTTAAATTGTGTTTTAAGTTTAATTGATATGTCAATTGAGGCTTAAATACATTTTGCTATCCACTATTGCACTTTTCTATGACTGTGATTTTATTCAGTATGATATTGCACAACATTGATTAGTAAATGCTCCTTTCATCAATGACAATAACCATTTCTCTTTTCTTTCATGTTAGATAATATAGTAGTCAAAGTTAAAAAGATACTGATGATGTGTCAAACAAAACTAAAGTTTATATTAAAATGTAATGAGATCGAATATCCATTTTACAAATTTTGCTGTAAGAACATTATGAAAAAATTCTTTTCAGTATTTATCCATACAATATTTTTGTTTTCAAAACATATAAAATGCCATCACATAATTGTTAAAAATATATTATAGAACAAAACAAAGCAAGTTGATGAACATTATATTTTATTAATGGTTTAGGTGTTATTTTCCCCACCGAGTTTTAAATGTCTAAGATATATGATAAGGGAACTACTTTTAATGACTTGTCAAGCTATAATCAACTGATAAAAGACAGACAACTATGACATAATTTCATTCTGCGATATATCTTAAGGCAACAAAATCTCAAAAATGTGTTTCGGTACCATTTTTTGTGATAATTTTAAATTGCGATGACATGATGTTTCTTTCTTCTTCAATGTAATAAATCTTTATATTTCTTATCACAAAGTTCAATTATATGATAAATTCACTAAAATTGTAATGTAAAGGTAAGTTTTAGAAGCTTTATAATTTTGAACTTTTTTTTTCTTTTTTTCCCCTCTTTCTTTCTCGGTTATTTTACCCCATCCACTTTTGAAGCTGTACTCATCTGTGATAAATGATCAGGTAATGAATTTTTATGCTTAACTTATCAAGAAATAATAAATAACATACAATTAAAACACAATTTCCTATACATTAAACTGAAATTATAATGTAAATGCATGTTTTGGGAACATATAGTAATTTTAAATATTTTTTCAGTAATTTTACCCCACCCACTTTGAAAGCTCTACTCTTACATCATAAATGCTCAGATAATGATTTTTTATGCTTAACTTGTCTAGCTATGTTAAATTGATAAAGTACACACAATTTCAATGCAATTCCATTTATATTGTTTTAATACGGAAAAACAAATTTTAAAGTCATCATCTTGTCAAAAAATGCTATTTTTTACCACTTTTTAGGTAACTTGATAGTAATAATTCTAAAGTTTGCCATATAATTGTCATTTTTGCTTGTATGAACCATTAATTAGCCATATTTTACATAATATTGTGCAATTAAAACTACATTGTACAAACTCTGTATGTAAAATATCAAGAACCAAAAAATATATGGTATTTTGTAATTTTTGGCGGACATATTGGCGTCCATCTTGAATTTTTCATATTTTTGCCCGGGCTGCGTAACTTAAGAAATGGGTTTTTAGAAACTACAAACAATATACTTTATAACGGCAATGTTTCTTTTTGTGATACGGTAAATTGCAATAAAACCCCGCCATCCATTTTGCAATTTTTAGCACGATACGTATACAGCGACCCGCTGTGTTCCACTATGCGTTTAACAAGCTGCGTTACTTTATCTCTTACTTTTAATGTTTAAGAGACTAGGTTCTTTGTAGATGTTTTCGTCTTGAAGGACAACCTCATATGACAATTATTTTGTATTGTTATAACACAATACAGAGTAGCATTCAGTGTTGGATTTAAGTTTACGTTACCACTCATTCATTGTAAACACGAATGGCTATGAAAATGCTTAACTTCAATTTGCTGTTCTGTTGAAATCATATTAATAACACATTTCCGTTGTAATGAAACACGGACTGCATAGCGCAAGAACGACCATGTTTTCAGTACAATGTTAGACCTAAGACAGTGTGGTTCATTTTTAAGTCATGATCCGAATTAACGACATAAGTCTTATATATCTTTCGAAAAGGTTGTACTTAAAATATACAATTATCTCTTCTATATTTACAAAATAAATGCTCTTTTTGAAATGTTTTGCAATACCAAAACATTTTATGGTAATAGTATCATTGTAACAGGATCACAGTTAAAAAATGTGTCTTATAGAACTGGAAGCAGATTAGGCTATAAAAATGCTTACTTTTTCAGTGTAATCACGTTGCCTGATCTTTGACACCGCTTCCGGTAATTTACAGACTATTCGCCATCTGTTTCCCGGTATTTAGCGGACAGGTAAAGAGACAACGTATGATTTTTTAGCATTGATAATCACATTTCTTCAGTTTCAAAATATGTCACCATTAGTTAAAAGCCATATAACGAACGGTCAACTAAGATTTAAATAGACGGATAATTTTTCCGTCATACTTAACTGATAAAAACTCGATCATATTTAACAGATTGAATTTTATACTTGTTTTTATTATTTTCCAACTCAATTAATCAACTGCTAGGGCCATTATTTCATTAACTGCGCGAGTTTAATGCATTTCCTATCCTGTTTAATTGTTTAATGGCTGTTTTATATTTTGATACAATTGTTTACATGATCGGATATAATCTTCTAACGTTTTTACCTTTTATTTCATTTTTAATATTATCGTAACATTATCGCTCCTCTTTTGATCTGTTTTCTATAAAACACTCAGTATAAGCGTTATATAAACATATTTATCGTGATGCTTTCATAATTTCCATTTACCACGAACGTGTTGTTTCCATTAGCGGATCTGATGAGGGTTGTACAAAATTTCTGTAATTTCATTGGTTGTTGTTCTTTTATTTAATTTGCCGATAATTCACGACAACAGATTTCAGAGTAACATGGTATGAAAATAGTAATTGAAATGGGAATGCAACTATTTTTTTTTCCAAAATAACAATCAGTATAAACGAAAATGTCAGTCATATCAATGTGTCACAGGGTGAGAAAAATCTGCAGCTTGACCGGGACTCGAACCCGGGAGCCTCGAATTAACGTAACGGCTCAAAAGACTGAAACTTCCGGGGCTTCACATATTTTCTATGCAGTTTAAGCCTAAAAATGTATTGCAAAGAAGATAAAAAAATGAGGGGGAAAAGTCAGTAATAACAGCTGTATTCCCAAAAAATAAAAAAAAAAAAGGGGAAAAAACAAAATTTTCAAAGCAAAAATCAGTTTTAAAAAGGGGGAAATTTTCAAAACAATAAAAATTTTTTTACAACCCAAACACGGAATTATAAATTTTTCATTATTACCAATGATCTGCAACATATTTTTATAGCATTTTTTCTACCCGGGTTTTAATTTTTTTTTTTAATAAATTTTCCATGCATTTAAAATTTTTATTATTTAAGGGGTTTTTTGGGGCCCCCCCACATCGTAGAAAATTTAAGACACACGACATTTTAAACTTCAAATTTAAATCTTTTTTTGAATTCTAAAAAATTAAAAAAAATACCCCCGGTGTAATTTTTGTTTTTTGAGAAAACAAAACGGAATTCTTTTAATTATTAAAATTTTTAGTTATTTTAAGTGTTTTTTCAGAATTTTTGGTTTTGGAAAAAATTTCTCATTTTTGTTCAAAAATTTTTTTAATTAACTTTAACAAATATTATTTTAAAAATATTTTCTTTTTTGAAACTTTAAATTTTACAAACCCCATTTTTTAATTGTTTGAGTCTTTTTGTTTTGTTTAACAAGAAGAAAAAGGAGCAGAAAAATAAAATAGAAATTATGTGAGATTTTTACGCACTTTTTTACCGTATTTACAATACTAAGAAATTAGATTAGTTTATAATGATGTTGAGAATCCAGGGATAAAATAAATTAACACTTTCTGTTCCACAGTTCAAAGGACAAACTAAATTGAACTTACATTTAAATGCCAGTCATCAGACAGAAAAACATATTGTTTTGTGACTAAACATGGGAAGCAAAGCAATGGAAAATAGCAATATGGAAATAACAACAATGCAACACGCTACGCTGGAAGAAACTACAATGCACCAAGGCACCACAATTGAGAATGACTACATATTAAGTCTTGTTCAATGGGATATTACAAAAAGGCTTCTTCCAGTGATAGTGATCTTGTATCTGTTGGTAACCATAGGTATAGTTGGAAATATTTTCGCCATCGCTTTTTACGTACAATCATCCAAACGTACACCACCTTCTTTACTGATAACGTGTTTGGCCTTCGCTGACTTAGGGACATGCATTGCAGCTATTCCAATCATTTCCGAAATGATGGTGAACGTGAACTACTCTCTTGAAATCGTATGCAAGCTCACCCATTTCCTTGGTCTCTGGTCTGGTGCTTGCGCTTGTTACGTACTATGGTTAATATCAATTGATAGATACAGAAAGATTTGCTATCCTCTAGGGAAACAAATGACAGTTTCGACTGTGAAATATTTAGTGATTGGAGTTACATCATTTTCATTACTGTTAGCTGTGAGACTTCTTGTAACTTTTAATATCGTTGAAGTTGAGGTAAATGTTGACGGTGTAAATAAAACAGTCACTGGTCTATATTGCGCTGCAGACGATGATTATGATCTAATTTCGCTTGTCTTCTACTCCATTGACTTCTTAATGATCTTGATGATTTGGATAACAGTGGTCGGGACGTACTCTAAAATTATATATACCGTTGTAAAGCGGAGACTTTATTTGACAAAATCCTCATTATCTATACAAAATAGCCTCTACGTCACACAAACAAGGAGTGTTAGGAAAAGTACAAAGAATACCATTTCCAAAAAGGAACGGATATTTAGTGATAGAGATACAGTGAAAGGAATGAACTTTCATAAGATAGAATTAGATGATATATCAACATCTGAAATAGGTACCAATGATACAGGGATTTATACAATACCAAACCGTAACGAGGTACAGACAGAAAAACAAAGTACCAGTTCAGAAAATCGACCTCAAAAACCTACTTTTGACTATTCAAACGTGAGGAGTCCATCTGAAGTTAAAATAACCTTCATGATGTTTGCCGTGTCAATGATCTTCATTCTTTGTTTCACCCCATATTTTGCAATTCGCATTTTCATAAGAATAGTGCTGCATTCTGGTAAGGAATATGATTTTAGCGCCGGTATTCAATTTGCTTTAAAATTGCCATATGTCAACAGTGCCTTTAACCCGATTATATATTACATTTTCAATCCAAACTTAAGGCGATATGTTTATGTTCGTCTGACTAAGTGTTGGTCTTAAAAAAATCGATGTGTGAGTTCTAATTATTTTTTTTTCATAGACAACGTTATTTTACTGATCAGAAAACAAATTGAACGAACGTTAGTACAATAATGGAAACGCGTTGTGTTGTTGAAGAAGAAGCAGAAGAAGAAGAAGCAAAATACAGTAACAACAAAAAACAAACAAAAAACCCAAACAACCCTAAGTCACAAAAGCAAAACAAACAGCAAAAACAAACAAACAAAACACAATAAGTTTATTTAAAAAGAGACTCAGATGCGGTAAATGAACGATGGTGAAAACGCGATGGTACTATGATGAAAACACGATACTTTCAGACTTTTAATTCAATTCAAAGCATCTTCAGTTTGTTTATAACTATTACATTTACGACAATATACACCACTTTATTTATCAATTATACAATATTTTCTTTCATACAAAATGGATTAATTGAATAAATGAATAAATAAATAAGTAAAAAATAAATAAATAAATAAATAAATAAATAAGTAAAAAATAAATAAATAAATTCATAAATTAATACGTAAATAAATTGATTTATTAATAAAACGAGATTAAACAAAATCTACCAATACCAGGGGTCTCTTTCAGGATTGGTCGGAAAAACATTATAATTATCAATAAAAGGAAACAAGGCATACATTTGGAAATTAAACGGAACACTGAGTCTCCTATGTATTGAACCATAGGATAGATGTTATCGCGTCCACTCGCCGTGATTGCATTGTACATATTTCAGAACAATTGGCAAATTGAAAATCAGGAATTTATGCGATAAATAGATGTTATCCTATGTTTTAATATAAGCAAATTACATTTTTACATTTATTAGAATATTGACGGTGATGGGAAGATCTGCTCAAATGATTAGATTTACCTACTATTAGGCTTGCCTCGATTATATCTCAGATATTTTGTAAGAACATATTCACAAGGTCCATTTATTATATTAAGAAGTGATATAAATGAAACGACTAAATTGTCAATTCACACGGAATTAATTAAATTAATTCGTTTGCTTTGGTGTGTAACATGTGGGATGCTATTGAGAAAAAAAAACAACAACAGTCATTATGTACAGTAGTTGTCTTAATTGTTTACGGTAAAACAGTTGTGTTTAATTAAAATATTAAATCAATTAGAAATGTTTTCAGATGTTTGCAATAATTGTTTTGGCTTTGTAATAATAAAACTTCAATAAAGTATTTCAATTACTGCAAAATTGTTATCCTAATATCAATTTAACAAAATTATACTATTCCATCCTGATAAATATGGTAAACGGACAAAAGCTTTCAGGTGCAAAGCCCGTCTCTCGTTAAAATGACAGGGCAGACAAAAGCCCTCTCATGTAGATGGCAGGACAGACATAAACCCTTCCGTAACAAAAATGTACATGTAAACGGTAAAGGTCTTGTTTATTATAGTGTCACCCCTACTGAAAGGGCCAGCCATTTCTGACTTATGAGACACATTTTGTTGCATATCAAGTACCTCCCAACTCCTACCCCTATGCAAGGCGCCCGGCAGATAGAAATCGGTAACCATTCATTTTAACTACCTTGCGGTTCGCGAAGCGGCCATTTCGGAACGAGTCCCTCGAGAAACAGTCATCCTTCAATTTACGCTCCCCGTGGGGCTCGGACCTTCGAACTACCGATCCGTAAGCGGACGCCTTTACCACTAGATCAACTGTACCGGGTATGTTAAATAACTGTTGTTGGATTATGTTGTTGAGGATATGTTGAACATTTAGATCTAACGAAAAACTAAGATTTAAGTTTTAGTTTTTAGAGATACAAAAATGATACAATTCTTTACTATACAAAAAGATATGAGATTACTTTAAAGAAGATAAACAAGAAGTATCTTTAAAAAGATATCGGCCGAAGTCAAACTTGTTAACTTGCATAGGATAAGCTACTACTAACAAAACTTACTGCAAACAGAACATTTTATTCGTCCTCAATAGTTTTATTTCAGTTAAATTTTAACCTGCAATGTTTTTCTCAATTAATTGTTATATTAGATTTTAACAATATTACTTACATTATTTGATTTTAATTAAAATGGAATTTCATTTGAATAGGAATTTATTAATTAACAAAGATTTAGTAGATACTGTACACTAATTCCACTAAAAATTTTGCAGCCGTAAATTAGTCGAAAGTTCGTTTCAATCGTCTTATGCTCGGTTCTAAAAGATGATGACTAGAACAGCTTAGAAGAGAACCCCAATTGAACGCAAAAGTATCAAAAGGCGATATCTGTAATATGTTATATTTATATAATATATAATAATATGTCATATTTAATTTCATATACTCGTATTTATTGAAAAGCTGTTAGAAACATCTAGAAAATATTATTATTTTGTTTTCCTATTTATTCTGACTTATATCTTTTTCCAACACTTCTTGCCACCGTGCAATCGAACAGACCTCTACCTAATAACGGAAGCTCTTCTAAAGTATCAATCGAACAGGCTATAAGTGTTAAAATGACCAATAAAAATTCTGCTTATATTCTATTCTTTACTGTTAATTTTAGCGGAAGTCAAGGTGACATCAGATGGCATTCGGCCGGAAAAGGTTTTTTTTATCACTTACAACTCACAATGATAATCCACAATGAAAATACTTACGTAAATTCCTTTAATATTATAGGCATTTTATGCCTCAGTGATTATAATTGATATAATCTTTCTTTTTGGAAAGGGGCAAAATAATAATAATAATAATAATAATAATAATAATAATAATAATAATAATAATAATATTGGATTTGAAGCATTTTGGAT